TGCTACAATTTTATATTGACTTATACCTCATCCGTGCTCAAGGATGACAAGATCAGAATTCCTAAATTGCCAGCAACTTCCACAAAAACTTCAAAAATGTGTATCAAGTAACTTGGAGGCCACCCTCAACCTGAAGGGTGTACTTCTTTTCTTACTTTTACTTAGCCTAAATGCACTCTATAAAGTTTGTGTTTTTATTTTTACTTGGCCTCCTACTTTTACTTGGTTCAAACTCTGCAGAGTTTTGTTTCTTAACTTAATAAAACTTTGCTACCATTAAAGAAAAAAAAAAAAGTAGAAAGACGATTGGGGTATAGCTTGCCTAAACATATACAAAAACCTGAGTTCAATTCCCAGCACTGCCACAGGGGTAAGTGTGGGGTGAGGGGTGTTTGTCTAGCAAATACAAATTTAAAGTATCCAACCTTAGGAAAAAAGTAAGTATAAGGATTTTTTTTTTTTTTTTTGGGGGGGGGTGCTGGCTCAGGATGCCTTAAGGGCAGGTCTGGAAAGGCATGAGGCTCTGGGCTTTGAACCACAGTAGCCTGAGCCAGGCTGCCTCTGCTTAAGCAGGCACTTAACAACCGAGCTAACGGGCAGGCCCAGAAAAAAGTAGGTATGAATAGAACTCAAATCACCTTTTCAGAAGTGTCATGCTTCATTCTGTCATAAAAGTTCTTCCCCTTAAGTGTGTGATTTATAAGATTTACTTTGTGTATGTGGCTTTATTATGTCCCAGGACAAGTATTCACTACCAATTTTTTCAGGAACCATCAAGAATTTTTTTTTTTTTTTTTTTTTTTTTGCGGAACTGGGGGTTGAACTCAGGTCCTTGTGCTTGCCAGGGAAGCACTTATTCCACTGAGCCATCTCCCTAGCCCCTAAGAAATTTAAAAAAAAAAAAAAATTTTTTTTTTCTTACTTACAATTAAGAATGTATGGGGGAGGTTTACCAGGAATCAAATTCAGGCTCTTGCACTTGCTAGGCAGAGACTTGTGCCACTGAGCTAGATCCCCAACCCCAAAATACTTTCTGCCACTGATGTGTCTGTCCTAACATTCAGATTTTTTTTTGCTTAAAGTTACTTTCAGATATTCAAATATACCGAAGGCTTTTCCTCTCTGTTAACGTACTTTACATTACCAGGGTCAGTGTGCCGGCCACTTAATCCTTATAGATTCTGCACGGTAAGAACACATGGGCATGGTGGTGTACGCCTACAGGCCAAGCACCGGGAGTCTGGTGTAGAATTGCTGTGAGTCCAAGGCCAGCCTAAGTTAAATAGTGAGCTCAAAGCCTTCCTGAACTAACTACAGGGGAGACCAGGACTCAAATACAAAAGCAGAGAAAAACGGACATACTCGTAGAACTGAAGCCAAATGGGCTGAGTGCAGAACATTCCGAGTGCTGGCCCAGCAGGCAGGCTCCAGACCCACCTGGAGAACAGACGGAAGCCCCTCCCCCACGCCAAAAAGTCCCTGAAGCAAAATAAGCGCACCAATAAAATGAGAGTTGAAGACTTAGGACTAAGGACTAATTTGAGGACATGACACATATAAACAACAATCAGATGAATGTTTTACCATTAACATTTATTGATGAGATGGATAAATACAGATTGTGAAACATACCTGACAGCAAGATATCAAACTGAGAGCCAGACTATAAAATGTACACAACATCTTCAAATTTTTAAAAAATTTTTTTACAAAGAGCCCTTATGATAATGGTCACTCATATCCTATCATTCACATAACAGCAGGAGAGATCTCAAGAGTAGCATCCAGAACTGAGACAACCCGAGAAGAGGCAACGGCAGAATTTGCTGAGAAAGGACTCTTGAAAACAAGACGAAGGAACAGACAAAACTCTCACCACAAAATTGTACCTGAGTGACAGAAATTTGTAAAGTGTTTTAATTTTTTTTTTCCTTTTTGCTCTTTGGTCTGAGAAGAAAATGGACAGTTTTAAGTGTGTGAAGTACAAAGGGGAAAGGTCAGCTTCAGGTTAAGAAACATAGGCTAACCCTAATTAGGCTGCTGCATCCTCTTCTCTGGGTGCATGAGCCAGGCAGCACGTCGGCCTGCCCCGACCCCACTGCGGTCATGACCAAGCAGCTCCTCGGCGTTCGCCGGCGTCCTACTTACCCAATGCACACACTCGCTCCGGCTGCAGCCAGCATGCTGTCAAGGGTCCCTCTCTAAACTCACAGTGGCAACAAAAACTGAGTTTCTTCATTCAACCATGAATACAGTCATAAAGTGGAAGTGACACTGCTTCTTAGTGAACACTGTTTTTCAATCACTTCCCTTTCCAGTGTCAAGATCCCAAACCAGATTGCTCTATCGGGTAACAGTACAGTACCATGCTTGTTTCAAACTCACATCCACCGAGGGACTAAAAAATAAAACTTGATAGTATGGCACAACGGAAACTCAGCTGGGCACTAGTAGCAAGCAACAGACATTTGGGGCGGCAGCAAAATCACTGAAAGCTCAGTAGGATGACTGTGGGCTATTTCTCACCATCTGATAGATTACATATTCTCCCAAACCAGAGAATAAAATTTATATTCCACTTCAAGATACTCCACCTTCTCCCCTGTCCCAGCATTAGTACCAAAATAATTCACCAATGAAATAAATCTTTTTTTAAAAAAGTTTCTGAAATAAAAGAAACACGGATGTTTAAAATCCAATCATGCTAGATAGGGCCCTTCAAATTCTTTGTCCATAAGCAAGGTATGAATAGTTTGCACTTTCAATATGAAGAAGCAGGTAGCAAAAGTTTAAAGAAACTAAGGGATTTATTTCCTTAAACATAATTATTACCATGATTTTATTTCTATATCCAAAACTACTGCTGTTTGCAACTGGAGATTTTAGATTTTTTCAATCAATACCAGTGCAGCCAATGTAGCACTATGTAGAATATACTAAAACAATAAAATCATTTAAAAGATATGGAAATACATTGATTCATGAAAAAACTAGACTAACACCTAAGCATTTTCTAAAGCCAAAAAGTGTTCACTGATACCTCAAAAGAATCACATGGATTTAGATTAATGCCTCAATGGAGCTCAGCCAACAGCAAAACAGGTATCTGATTAAAAGCTCTAAAAGCAATCCACTGGCATTTGTTTCTACTAACATGAGAGCCAACAAAATTTTAGATTTCCAAAGCTTACCATCATCACTCATCCTTGACAGTCAAGATTAAAAGAAAACTGGCATCTTTACAAGACTAACTTTGGATCTATAAATCCCATTTGTCACCCTTGAAGGTATGAAGAATTCAACTTAGCAATCACATAACCCTCAGAAACCCTAAGTGTATAGAATTGGGATGCTACACATGCTAGCTGACAGGTACACCTGCTAAGCCAAAGACAACACAACACCTCAGGCAAAGCCCAGGAGGTTCAGGACATGCACAGACCTACAATGATGGACTAGCTCGAAGGCTGGATTTTTAAACCTAAAGCAGCAGTTTAGGCCCATGAAGCACCTTTTTCCAAATTCACTCCTGACAAGCTCTAAGAAGAACACAGAGGACTGCTACAACACCAAGTGGCTATGTGCTACTGTGGTATGGGTGCATGTGATTCAGAAGACATGTGACATTAATGTGAACAATTAAAAGCTAAAAGGGACATTTTCACAATCAAACCAGTGATCATCAGTTTCACAGAGGTACAGACCCAGACAAAATCACACACTCCCTTTTGGGGTGAAGGATGGAAACAGACCAGCGAACAAAATTTAAATAAATATGAGGCCTAAATGTAGGAAACACAACCATATACTCACCAGTTAGATGACACAAAACAGGAACTAGCAAGAAGAGGAAAGTGTTATCTAAAAAGTAAAATGACATTCACAACGTACCAGATTTACGTGTCAGCAGAGAGCTGCTTTTTTACCTGGCAATGGCACGCACTACACACAGCCCAAATATGCAGAGGCAGCGCACTAGCTCACCTTCAGCTAAGGTTTAGTCCCAGATACAAATTCCTTCCTCCATGAGGCACATCATCAACAGTAACTGTCTGTTTTTCTCTCCCAAACTGTACCTGGCAAGTAAGTAGCCATATAAGTACTTTCTAACTCCCCACATTTTCCACTCATTGAACTTCTCCATAAAGACTATTTGGTGTGATGAAAGCTGCATTCAAAATGAGACAAACTCAAACTGCATTACTGTCCATAGCAAAAAAAGAAAAAGAACACATCAAATGATCTGTGGCTAGGCAGCATTACCAGTTAGTCAACTTGGCTTAGAATCCTTCCCAGCTAAATTTAAAAGACTTCCTTCCTCATCAAAAATGTTCATCCCTAAAGTCTAGGATAAGTCCCTAGAGGACTCCTGGCCACTTTTTCTTTTTAAGAACTCTTAGGAATCTTAAGAATCTCTGGTAGACCCTAAAGCCTCCCTTTAGGACAACGTAAACCACTGGCTAGGCTTGACGACTCATGGCACCAGCACTGTTCATGAGCTCAGATCTCTGAAATCATGTAAGCTGCAAACACTTAAAAGATGCAGTTGTCTGCCTTCAGATATACAAATAAAAAGCAAGGCTTATATTCACAATATAATTTAGAACACAATGTCCTAAGAATTCCAAATTGCAAGTTTTTTTTTCAGTACCCTCTAACTCCTTGCTTCTCCCAGGGCAACGAACACGTACGGCACGAGCTTTCTACAATTCAGTTACATATAAAGAATGGGGGGTCTCCACATCAAGCACGCTTCTCTGCTCAGGTTAAGGCCAACCATTTTTATCTAGCAGACGGCTGGAACGTGAACATGGTAATGGATGGGGATAAAACATGATTTTTACACACACACACACACACACAAAAACACATCCACACTTGCATACACTCGTCAAGGTCTCAACACTTCTAGTGGCCTGAGCCTACTCCAAAACTCTTGGCCAAGAGCCCACCCCCCCCCAGCACTCCCACCCTCGACCCCACCCACTGGGAGTCACTGCTATGAGTCTCATACGCACAGCATAATCCCTGTCCCCTTCCCACTTATATAAAAAAACTAAACAGATAACTTACTTTCATTAAATTATTTTTAAAAAGTCTCTTAAAAGATTTTGACGTTTAAATACTTCCTCTCTTCTGCTATATTAAACATCAAAAGAATGCACAATTCTTTGATAAGCCCCCATGTTTCAGTTCTCGAAAGAAGAGGGAAGATAACTATTCCAATCAACCTAATTAGGAGGCGGAGAGGCCAAGACTAGAGCACGTGTTCTTTGTCCTTCACAGCTTCATCATCCCCACCTTTGTAATACCAGTAAAAACTATAATAGTTCAATGTATCAGGCAGCACATATAACAACCAAGGCCCTCCACCACCCTCCCACTATGTTTCAGTATCACTGTATTCTCTAGTCCAAGAAGGGTGACATTTCATTAGGGAAGTAACTCTAGTCCACTATCAGTAGTCAAAAAAAAAAAAAAAATTACTTTTTAGAGAAGATTTTTTTCTCTTCTTCGTCTCTTCTATTTAGGAAGAGGTGGAAGTGGTGGAGGTGGCTCTGATGGCAGAGGTGGTGGCCGGGGTTTGTCTGTAGTGCCTGGTCTGGAGGCAATGCCACTAGCCCGAGGGTTCAGATACTCACTATACGAGTGGACAAATTCAAATGCAGGAGGCTGAGTAGGCTGGACTCCTTGGGCACTGAGCAGGGAGTGGAGCATATTCACAGTATCCTGATAGTCTATGGACTGAGTTGTGCTGTGACCGTTGGCCCCAGTGGGGCCTTTATCCAGTTTCAGGTGAGGAACCCGAGTTTTACAGCTGGGCTGTGAAAAGGGAAGGCCACTTGTGTCTGAGCTATGCCCAGGTAACTGGGCCATTGTAGGAAGAGGGGGGAAGGAGTAATTTAGAGAGGATTTAGTACTCTTGGCAATCTTGGCTGGATGATCAAACACCGTCACTCCAGTCTCTTCAGGGGGGGGCCTCTTACGAGTAGAACTAGAGGAGGAGAAAGAACTAGACAAGCTATAGGCTTTGTGTGTCAAGGTGCTTGCCTGGCTGCTGCTGTGTTTTGGATCCCCTGGACGTTTGTTCCCAGGACCAGCAGGAAGCTGGGAGTGAGAGTGCTTATGTGAATGGTGATTATGGTGGTGGTGATGGTTGGATGGGTGAATCTTGTGCTTTTCTTTGTGTTCTCTGCCCTTGGCAACACTGTCCTCTACAGAACTGTGCTTATCAGCTGGAGCATGGACCTTAATGCGCATTTTTATCTCATCTTGTTTTGAAGAGGCAGCTTTATCTCCAGCTGCTGGGAGTCTCATTTTGAGAGCTGTTTTGTCAGTCTTTTCCAGAAAAGGATGTTCCGGGTTCTCTGTACCCTTTAGGGGCATTTTAAGAATGACGGAAGAATGGCTGTCATGGTGAGACAGAAGGTTCTGGGCAGCATACGCATACTGTGACTTCACATTGGCCTCCATGTTCTCCAGCTGCCTCTTCTGGGCAGCCAGTTCTTCTGCGTGCTTTGCACGGTATTCTTTCAATGATACTTTAGCTGACGGCACAGTCTTACTACTCTGCTTTTGGGACATAAACGCATTTGAGCCATCTTGTTTCAAGGAATGATCAATTCCCATAAGTGCTAAATTCTCACTAGTCCGATGACCCTGAGCAGATTCTAGTTTACCAGGAGGTTGGGAGAGCCAGCGCTCACTCTGCAACATCTCCACACCGGCTAAGCTGCCTGAGGGCTCTCCAGAGACAGGAAGGGAAGGCACCGCGCTGGTGGCAGAAGTAGTTGACATGCTCATTAAGCCTGCTATCGTTGAGTCTGAAGAGCTCTGGGAGATCATATTGAGGATTGTCTGCTCTGAAGTATTTTCATCTGCTCCCCGGTCATCTGCTTTTGTTTTCTTGGTAGGCTGACATGCCTAGAACAAAGTCAGTAACATCTCTTCAGGTGACTTATTAAAATGGAAAAACATTAAATTGTACTTACACTGAAGTTCTGGAAAGGCTATTCTAGCATGAGAGCCAACAAATACGAGCCTCAGGAGGAGACTGAGACTGTCCGTCACTAGGTGTAGTGGTACACGTCTGCCATCCCAGCACTCAGGAGGCCAAGGCAGGAGTGTTGCTGGGAGTTTGAGGCCAGCCTAGACTGCACACACTGCAAGCCCCATTTAAAAAAAAATCCAAAATCCATCAAGTCATAGCAATGTACAATGTTACAAGGCAAAACAACCAAAAAAACCCTTTGTGCTTATCTAAAAACCATTCACAAACAGCAAAATGACTTTTATGACTACAATACACTAAAATTCTACAAATTTTAGTGAAGTTTTATGTGAAAGATGAACTGTGTGCTATCAAGCCTTTTTTTTTTTTAATGTACTTGGCACAGGGTCTCACTACGCAGCTCGGACTCGCAGTGACCCTCCTGTTTCAGCCCCCTCAGTGCTGGGACTACAGGTGTGCACCGCCACACCCTACTTCCGCCTGGTCTGGTCTCACTGGCTGACTCAGTGCAACCTGGGGTGGGACCAAGCAGCATGTGCTGCTGGGATGGAACCCTGATCCCTGCGCTGGCCTAAGCAGGCACTTAGTATACTGAGCTACCTCACTAGCCCTCAAGCCTATTTATAACCTTAAACTATTATGAGACAAACATTTTATTCAGCCTACTCAATTTAGAATAAAATAAAGCTTCTCAATCTGGATTTATGAGAAAGGAAGGAAACTTTTTGCTTTTGTTTTAGACCGGGTTGCTATTTAGTTCAGGCTAAACCTGACCTCACTAGAATCAAACTCAGAGAGATATTTCTGCCTCAGCCTCAGGCAAGTGTGTGCAACCACACCCTGTTAGAGCAGGTTAGGGACCCTCAGCAGGCTAAATTCTGGCTCCACTCCCCAGCCTCTAGGGAACTATTTCTGTGGTACCAGGGATATAACCCAGATCATTAGCACTGAGCTACTTCCCCATATATCTCATTATTTTTAGTTGTGAGAGAAGCTTTTGTTAAATCCCAAAATGGGTCCGACTGAGCTTGAATTTGTAATCCTCAAGTCTCAGCCTCCCATAGTGCTGGGATTATAGGCATGTGTTACCATACCATTAGAAAATATTTTTCAACAATCTAATGCTGGGGAAAAATAAGAGAGAAGGAATTATTTATAAACAAGATGTTAAAAATATCTGAAATAAAAATGTAGGCTGCAAACTGTATAACCAAATTCTAAAAACCCATTTTAAAATGTAGGTATCACACATGTATAATTACTGCATTGTTTCTCTGGTGTGAGAAACTGAAGGTGTAAATAAAGACCATAATGGGCACTGCGAAGTAGGAAGAAAAATGTTCAAATGGCGAGGGGGACAGTGGGGGAAGTAAAAAATATATGAGAGGGCTGGGGCTCAGTGGAATAAGTGCTTGCCTGGCAAGCACAAGGTCCTGAGTTCAATCTCTGGTACCACAAAATAAATAAACAAACAAATAATGGGAAGGGGAGGAGGGACTGAAGAATCAAGTTACACGCACAGTTATAAATTCTCTCTGATGAATGTTAATTATTATGTATATCTAAAGTATTCCAATAAAATATGATTGAAAAGAAAAAAGTAGGCAACGTCAAAGAGAAAATTATGCCACACATGGTTATACTCACAGCGCTAAGGATGCAGAGGCAGAAGGATGGTGAGTTAAAGGCCAACATGGAAAACCCGTGAGTTTAAGGCTAGCCTAAACCACAGAGTGAGACCCTGTCTCAAAACCCAGTATTTCTGCTTTATAACTAAGTCTCTACAGAGAAAACAGGCCCAAGGATTTAGCTCAGTGGCACAGTGCCTGCCTCACAAGCACAAGGTCCCGAATCTGATTTTTGGTTATCAAAAAAAAAAAAAAAAAGTCTCCTATACAGAAAATATTTAAGCAACACTGCTGAACAAATCATCACACAGTAATTCCACAAAACAAAGCACAGCCTGCTATCACCAACAGCACTGGCCTCTGGACCAGTAATACTTCAGCTATGAAGTCAAGTCATGACTAGGGCACAAAAGAAAAGAAAAACCCCAAAGCTAGGCACATAGCCTGTTCTGGTGCACTCACTGGCACACTCAAAAGGACGAACCAGCAGACTGAGTCATTCTTACCCTCCAATTCCAAATTCGTTTGAGCCTGTTGGGAGTCTTCTCCAGAATCTGTAGAAATTCATGGGTCAGTTCTAAAAACAAAACATTCAAGAAAGACTCAGAGAGACAGAGGCAATGGAACAAGAATCACCTCAGCTCACTCACTACTTTCAACTACAGTCACCTTTGGGCAGGTAAGTGACAGATCAAGAGCAAGCAGTTTACAGCGTCCCTTACTCTAAAACTTACCATCTAAAAGTTCCAAGGTCACTGTGGCGTCAACATACTCCCACCAGTGCTTTCCATCGGTGGAGACTGGGATCTCCCAGTTGGACCACTTGCAAGCCAGATGGATGCAGACACAGGCCACCACAGGAGGTGTGTACTGCAGGCTAAATGTGGTCAAATGGAGGCTGACACCAGAGGGAGGAAACAGAGTTTCATGAGGCTCAGTTCTCAACCCAAAGCTAAACTCTCCATTATTTTAAAAGAAAAAAGGAAAAAAGAAAAAAAAAAAAAAAAAAGGAGAGCAAAAAGAGCAAGAACTGCCCTTCTCTGATTCCATACGCAGTATAACCATTTTTCTATTCACCCACTGCTCAGGTTGGCATTTCTAGGTTTCCTGACTGTATCATTCAATCTACACAACAAGTAAGGACTCCTCCCCCAGTTTGACTTCTCCTCCCAAAAGTCAGTGTTTATTACCTATTATCCTGCCAAATAAGTGAGGAAAATTTTGAGCTTTCTATTTGTAATCATTACATCTATATGGAAATATCTTTTTTTTTTTTTTTTGGCGGAACTAGGGATTGAATTTAGGCCTTTGTACTTGCCAGGGAAGTGCTTATTCCACTGAGCCATCTCCCTGGCCCCCTGGAAATATCTTTAAAATTGTCTTTTGCCAATCACAGTTCTGATTCAGTTAAAACAATGAACAATCACTACTTCAAGTACAAATATGCTTTTTTTTTTTGGTGGTACCACGGATTGAACTCGGGACCTTGCGCTTGCCAGGCAAGCACTTACTCTACTACGGAGCTATCTCCCTGGCCCACAAATATGCTTGATTTATGGTTCATCTGAAAAACTTCTCATGTCAGGTTATAAAACTGTACTTTTTCTTGGTGTTCCAGGCTGGCCTCAAATTTATGGCAATTCTCTTGCCTCAGTGCTGGGATTACAGGCATGTGCCAGTCACATGTCAGGCTATAAAGCTCAACTTCTGAGCCCTCAAAGTTCTTAGTCATCTTTGGTTTCCATACACAAACTACACTGGAGAGCAGAGATGAAGCTGGCAAGTCACTTGGTACTACAAGTACCATGTGCTAATCTAAAAGAAGTATTACCATTCTTCATGGGAAGAAAAAAAAGCCTTTTAAAATATAATTTTTACAAAATTCTCTAAGTTAGATATTTTTTGGTCACTATCAATAAGCCCTAAATTTACACACTTCCAGAAATGTGTTCTTGGGTATTTTAGAGCAATGTAACACAAAGAAGTGTGTGGACTACCAATTACTAAATATAGTATTAAATAGTTATACCACCTCAGCAAATTAAAAAGCACCAGGAAATTTAAAGTATAAGATGCAAATCATATAGGAAAACATAGTAAACATTCACCAGACAACTGTGTACAGCACACTGGAAAGATTATTTCCATGTCTGTGCCTTCGGATTCTAGTGTACTAAGTCATTCTATCCATCCCAGAAAAGGTAACTAGACCAACTCAAGTAAAACCAGTCCTCAAAGGCAATAAGTACATAAATAAAATATAAACCTGTTGGTTGCCATGAAATAAGACGTCTGTGCTAAGTCCTTGCTTGCTAAAAAAAAAAAAAAAAAAAAAAAGGAAAAAGGTTAGTTTCCTTCATTCTCAAGAAATATTTATCAAGCATTTATCATTTGCAAGGTTCTGTTTACTGCTACTAGACTGGTAGATGACTTCATAGTGGTGCCCAATCACCTGATGTTTGTATTATACCAAAGGAAATAATCTTTGCAGGAGGGCGCATGGGGGGGTGCTGCGGACTGAACCCAGTGACTCAAATGTGCTAAACACATCGCTGAGCTATTACACTCCTGGCTCCTAATGATTTCTAATTTTAATTTTAGTAACCACACTGCTTCCACTCCCAGAGACTCAAATTTTCTTCTGCACACCAGGTATTAGAGGTACTTATTTAAAATGCAACCCCTGGGCCTGCTCTTCAGAGTTTGATTTAGTGCCAGAGGTGGTGGCCCAACTGAGGCAGAAGAGTCACCTAGAGTTCAAGGCCAGCCTGGGATACATAGTGAGATCCAAAAACAGAAAAACCCCAAAGAAACAAAAAACAAAACATAGTTTGATTTAGTATGCCTGGAGAAGCACCCAAGTTTTCTTCCCCCAGTTTTGTTTTTGATGGTACTAAGACTCAAATCCAGAGATTTAAACATGCTAGGCAAGCACTACCACTGAGTTAGTTCTCCAGGGACAGCACAAGCACTGCATGGGGGTGCATGGCGACAGTCCAGCACTCTCCCAAAGACCTCCAGGAGTTCAAAGCTAGCCTGCACTGAATAGTGAGACTGTCTCAAAAACAAAACAAAACCACCAGGATTCTTAGTGGCCTGTGAATTAATCCCTAAATCATCAACTAATATAGCTTAGTGTATTACAGTACAGTGAAAAACATATTCTTTCAAAAAAACCACTCTACTTTGTTTTTTGTTTTTTTTTATTTAATTATTTATTTATTTAT